AAAGATGCCTGCCTCAGGACCAAAAGGGCTGATGCTTGTATGTATAATTCTATCTGATATATTTTCTTTTTCATTATTTTTATTAACATTCAACCTTTTTTTTTAATTTAGTTTATGGAGAATTACCAGATGCAACTACGACAGTGACATTTACACCGGCAAAAGTCGGAACAAATTACATATTCGATTTGCTTAATACGGATTGTAGTCCTTATTATAATAATTGGTTTACCCTTACTGTTGAAGATGCTCCAAAAGTAAATGCTACTCAATCAACAGGATTACCTAAAGTAGGATCTGGTAGTACACAAACATCTTCATATTCGGCATCATCAACAACATCGTCAACAACAACAACAACTTCTTCTTCTTCCTCTTTTGAATCGCCAATTACTTCATTGGGAACAAAATTTTTAATTGCAGGTGCGATTTTAGGAGCTATAGCCATCATTCTTGGTATAATTGCCTTTATAGTAAAGGCTAAATATAGTAGAAATCGTGAAAATTTTTACATCTATAACGAACAAAATAATACTCTGAATGAGCAGAATTTTAACCAGCAAAATAATAGTTCTGTACAGCAGCAGAATTATGAGCAGAATTACAATCAACAGAATTATAATCAGCAGAATTATAATCAACAGAAGTCTCTGCAGCAGTCATACGAGCATAATAATATCCAGGCACCGGCACCACCATATAATGAGCAGGGATATAATAACAATGCCGTTGCTCACTATAATGCGAATTATGAAAAACGCATATAGCAACAATATTATAATTAGCGTGATTTTTCATTATAAATATTTTCTTATAAGCATAATGTATTTTTATAGTTAGCATTTTTTTTTTTATTATAATAAATACTATTCTTGCATCGAACAAGTTTATAAATTAAAAATTTCCTTTTGCATAACGAAAAAATTATGTGACACGTTAAAAAATGAATGGATCAGCACCCACTTTTGGTAATATAGTATGAAAAATCCTTTTATGGTAATACTAATAAAACAAACGGAAATCATTTAAAATTTTTGGGGTGGGGTATTTGTAGGGTTTCTATTCGAATAAGGTTGATTCAAATTATTCACTTTATTCGTTATTATTATGAATTTGAGTATTCGAATTACATTGAAAGTTTATTCGAATAAAAAAATTAATTCGAATAAGGAAATTAATATTAATATTAATATTAGTTTGAATAAAGCAAATAATTCGAAAAAATTAATTCGGATAAAACAAATAATTAAAGGTCCAGTTTAAATTCAAGCTCACCGGAAAGATTGCTATTTATTAAAAGAAACATGAATTTTGTTTCAGTCTTTCCTTATTAGTTTCATTTTTAATTTCAATTTTTATAATCAATATTAAACCTTGTTGTATATATAGTTTGAATATTTAAGTAATTGAACAACCCATGATTCCAAATAATCTAATAAATGAATGAACAAACCCAAGATTCCGATAGTGAATAAAACAAATAAAACAAATAATTTGAATAAATTTTTATTCGAATAATTAATTCGAATTAAAGGTCAACTGTATTACGAATAATTCGAAAAAGAATTTGTATTACGAATAGAAACCCTAGGTGTTTGGATATGAAAAATTCTGATTGGCTAATTTGAAATCTCACATATGTGAATTGCTAAATTTCATTTTCGCGCACAACAGTCATATATCGTTCATTTAATTTGACTTTATAAAATATATATTAGATTAGCATATGATAAACCCGATAATGACATTAAATAATTTAATTTTTTCTTGTTCGCAATAATTAAATATATTAACAACTACTTCTACTTCTTATTCTTATGAGCCAAACTACCATGATCATTACTTCCACTTCTTAACCTTATAAACCAATTTTACCAAGTCACAAAAAGTTCAAAACAGCTTATCCGTCAAAACTAGAGCGACTACCATTCTTAATATCTCGCAGGGTGTATTAATAATAATCGCAGGATCGATTGTAGGCGGTATTTTTGTTATCAATGCTGCAGTAATAAGTATCAGTAATGCTTGTAGTTTCGGTACCTTGGAGGACGAAATTTTCTTATGCCGAAGCTATTTACCAAAAGTATTTTCGATAACACATGACAATTTTGGTGTGCATCACTGACAAATATCATATATATTAAAATAATTATATTCAGTCAGCTGAATATAATATCAACATAATAATAATAATAATAATAATGTTGTAATTTGGCTTGGCATTCTTTCAGAATAAATATTGGAATTCTTTTTTTCTTTTTAATTATTGAATTTATATTATTCATTATCATTTTAACATATAGAGATTTTTATTTTGGAGGGACAAATTCTAATATAAATAAATAGAATGATCTGCAAGACTATATTTTTTATTAATACATATTTAATTTATCTATTTGATTTCATAAAAGACATTTCATTGGTAGTTAATAGTGTTGTGTTAAAAAAAAATTTTTTTTGCCTGCATTTTCTGTAGAGTTAAAAGTTGTTTTTAACCCCATTATCTCTCTGTACACTTGAGGTCATGGTTGGGACAATGTAAGCTTTATATATTTAATTACTTTTAAAGGATAATAAATCTTTTAAATATAGTATCGCTTTATTAAATAATTTTTAAAAGACTTTCTATTTCCGTTAGATTTGCTAAACTTGCCGAAGCAGATGGACGGAATGTTTTCAAGACCCGGTACTTGTATGTTTAATATATATGTGAGGCATACTGCGACAAAGTGAACATAAAGATTTCATGGTTCAAAATTTATTCATTATACTACAGAATAATTGGAGTAATTAATCTAAAAAAACGGTATTGTTAGCTATTGCATCTTTTAATTTTATGTTTTTGTCTTTTTCCTTTATGGAATTCCATGGTCTTGTTTGCTCCGCTCTTGGGTTACCCTTTATCAAGCCCAGACCAATTTTAACATCTGTTTTTTTTTTAATTTTCCTTCTTTTCGTTTGAAATATTATTATTATTATTCCTGATTAGCACTACTATGCAGATCATCTATAATTATGGAATGGGGTGAAATTCTGATTGGCTAATTTGAATTTCACACATGTAAATTTGAATTTCGCATATGTGAATTGCGAATTCACATAATTTCATTTTCACGTACAACAGTAACAATTACTAAAACGAAATTTTTTTTTAAGTTTTATTGTTCATGATTCAAGCTTCAAAACTTATCGGCTAGTTTTTTCTTAACTAAAAATTGGCAGAGCCTTAGCATTTTGAAAATTCAAAATTTTGTTATTGTGACCAAGTAAATTTCGTGCAACAAAATTTTTTTCATAGAATATTTTTTTACAACATATATTTCTTTATTATTAATAAAAGTTTTTTTGTAATAAAAAAGTTAACGAACATATTACATCAGAAGGAAATCATTCACAAATTTGGTCATGTGATTCAAAATATTATCATTCAAAAAATATTTTCTTACTGCCAAATTTAGATATGATGGTCATGTACGAGTCTAAATCATCATAAACTTAGCGATGTTCCTAGTAAATTCTTTGTGAACATAGTGATAGTATAACATGTACAATTAATGAGACTATTTTTTTAAAGGGTAGGACAGAAAGTGACTTCTATACTTTTAAAATTTGCACAAAATTTAGGAAATCCCATACAGCATCAAGAAAATAAATCTCACGTAAACCTACGTAGGGTTTAAAACTGACCAGCATTATGCGGAAATGTTAACAGAATTACCAAAATATCGACATAATGCTGGCCAATTCTGAACCCTATGTAGGTTTACGTAAGATTTATTTTCCTGATGAGGTTGAAATTGGACATTACATAGTAATAAAAATGTGATATTTCAAATTTTGTCTGACAAAATTGTATATATCATTTTTAAAATTTTTTTTTATTTTCCTATGTAAGTTGGGAGGATCTAATATGAAAAAAAAAGTATTAAAAAGACTTTTTTTTTTACAAACCAAAATTTGTTTCCATTTACTATTGAGGAGTTTTTTATTATTATATAGTTTGTCAATATTAATTACATAAATTGGGTGACTAAAGGCAAATTAATAATTTATTTTAATGCTGAAAATTTATTATAAATTTATATATATATCTGGATAAAATCCTGCACTTGATGATCTTCACAAAACACATGACAATAAAATTTTTATTGCTTTTTTGATTGTAAATTTTTTCTCAAAAAATCAATGCTGTGACACAGAAAGTTGTAGGGACTAAGTATCTTGCACCATATATTACAAAAGATGATTACAAAAAACCATTTTGTAAAAAAATAACAAGATTTTAGCAGGGAATTGCGCAGTGAAATTTTTTCATGTTCAGTGTTGAAATTTCGTTGTGTAACCAGTACAAATTTAGAAACTATCTCCAAAAATTAAAAATTTGATTGGTGTGTAATGTTACACCCCCGCATTCCCCGCACCGAATTTTCAACACTGTATATGTTAATTAAATAATAATTGCTTTTGCTACTTTTTAATTTGGCTAAGATCTCTCTGGTTCATGCCTTTCACTCTTGCATATTCTTGAATCACAAATTGACCAGTTTTTATACAAGAAAAATTGAAATCCAAAATTTCAAGCAAATTCCAAGAAGACACTCTGCTCATAGCTATGTATACTTGATCAGATAAATATGAACATATATTTTCATTGATGCTGACAGTTGCATGAGGTAATGTTAATACTTGGGTTTTGTGCATGGTAAGAGCAAAGGTATTCTAAAGAAGAAATTGTTGTTTTATACAGGACTTCCATTAATATCAAAGTAAATGGTTCCTTTTTCAGTCACCTTTGTGGTATTGCAGGTTGTCAGAAAGGTCGTTTCAACATGAGGATCAGTCATTTTGGTTATCATACCAATTGTCACATTACAAATTCTATGATCAAACAACTTGTTGTTGAGAAATATCATTTTTGCGCCTTCTTTCTTGGAGAGGTTCATATAGCAGTTGAAGTGAAAATATTCACTTTGATCTGGTTGAGGATGTTGTTGCTAATCATGTCTGCTGCAGCTGAGGCAAATGGGCCAAAGTTCTCTTCACCAAGAGGTAATTTTTTACAAATTAGCTAGTTAAATTTTTCCAATAAAATAAATGCAAGCATAATATATATTATTATTTAATTTGCAAAAAGTTGGTTCACTTAGTTGTGCCACAGCAATTATCCACATGAATTTATGTTTAACTTTTTGGCATTAATGCCAGAACTTTAATTTAGATCATTAATTGATTGTTGCCATAAATAATAAGAGCAAAAAAACTTTAGCCATAAACAATTGATTGGTTCAAAAAAAGTTGTTAATTCAAATTTTGGTGAAGCATTAATTAGTAAAAATGCATCCTTTAACTTTTTTTTATTATATGAGTATGTAATTTATCATCAATCTTGCATGAAAGTCAATCTTTGACAATATTGTGAGATAGTAAATAATGGACCAATCAATTAGTGTTAATCAATTAAAACGAACTTAATATGATAGTCATGTGATGTAGTGATTGTATTCATGATCAACAATCATCTTTCTATATGTTTGTTGTAACGGTTGCACCACATATTGTGTAATGTTATACTGTAGATCTTTCATCATGAAGTTGATCAACATTCACCCTATATTAATATTTATTATGGTTATTTAATAAATACTTAAATTTTATATTAATCAAGTATTTAATATTTTATTTACATCAGGAAAATGGGTACAAATATTATGCGTATATAATACACAATTGCAGGGATTAAGCATATAATATGCATACAAATCATGTATTTTTTTATGTATGCAAATTGTACATATATTGTATGCTTAATCCCTGCAATTGCGTATTATATACACATAATATTTGTACCCATTTTCCTGATGTATTGCTTTAATGTAATATACTTTAAACATTATATTTAAATACTTTATAAATATTTTTTTAAAAAATACTTTCGAAATATTTTTAATTTAATATTTATTAATTAGTATAAAGATATGTATTAATCAAGCATTTAAATTTACTATTTAAAAAGCATTTAATTACTAAGAAATTATTTAGTAATATTTAATATAGTTATTTACAAAGTAAATTCCTGGTTTAAATTTTGATATATTATGCACTGTATTTGTCATTGAAGCAATAGGAATTAAAGTATAATGTCTACACGCTTAATAATAGCACATTTATAAAAATATTGATGCTGAGCATCATCTGGATATGCAAAAGATGAGCACAAGATCAAAACTTTGACTCATGCAATTGTTGATTGATCAATAAAATCGTAAATTTGATAATGTAAAAATAAATATTGGCTTGATTCATTTTGTCAACAATCACTTCACCAACAATTGTTTCATTAACAAATGGTTTGAATTTAAGAAGTTGAAAGCAACCATGTGACAAACCTTTGAAATAGTCTAATAAATTAAATCATACTACTTGAAAATGTATTTAAAGGGTTGGTTTTCAACTTGGTTGAAGAATAAACCTCTTCCCAACTCTTCTCTTGACCATATCTCTCAATATAATTAAAAAAAACCTTAATATAATGAATGTCTACAAAATGATTGTAAATACAATCAATATTTAAGATATACAATTAAGACAAAACATGAACGATGTATGAAAAAATCAAATAAATTTGTTTAACAAAAACAAAATTTACAATCCAAAAATTTTTTTTTGGATGTTCTAATAAATTTCCATTGTTGCTGCATCATCTGTTACTGATTCAACATTACCCAGATCATCATCAACTGTATTTTCATTATTTTCGATAAATTAATTTTCATTTAATCTTTTTGTCATACTTTCTTTTAGTGCATTGACTTTTTTTTTGATTTTGACTTGAAGATATCAAACATTTAGATTGGCAACTTTGTAGACAATGATTGTGATAACCATGTCCACAGATGAGTACACTGATCATATTAAATTAAATTGTTTTTGTTCTAGTTAATTAATTAATAGAAGTTGCACAAATTTTAATCTTTTTTTCAATTGTTACCATTGACTTTTTTTAAACTTTTTTTCCTATACTCTATAAATATGATTATAAACATTAGCAGTTTGCTTTTTCTACTCTCTTTTTTCAAAATTACAAACTCTTCTGCAAATATGGGACATAGTAAGAAACAAAAATTACATAAAATTGTACAGCACATTTTGTCTCAGATTATTATTCCAAGTGAACTAGAAAAAATTCTAAATGCACTAAACAGTCCTATTCAATTAGATTCAGATAAACAAGATCAGAATATACAGATATTCTTAATGAAGAGGAAAACACTTCAAGTGATAAAGAAGAATTTAATTCAGGAGATGAGATAACCAGCCATTATAATAGAAATCATAAATGAATAACTGATGATATAAAAAAAGGTAGAAGTGTATAAAAGAAAATTCACAAGTAACTAATAATTTATTGTTGTTTTCTTTATAATAATTTATTTATTTTAATTTCTTTTAGGATATAATCCAACAATTAGCAATATGCAACATATACAGAATCAAATGTTCATGATCATTTAAGTTATGCAAAGAAAGGTTAACAAAATGTATGTAGATTGGCTTTGGTAGTAGTCAAATAGAAAGTAATACAAAGTGGATAAATGTAAGAATTGAGCATTATCTTAAAATAATACAATAATATTTTTATTACATTATAGGATGCAATTTATGTTGAATCTGAGAAGGTCAAATATCCAAATGATGAATGCATGATGCTTTGTTGAACACAAACAAGGAAGAATTTCAAAATAAAATAAAAAATGGTGGTTGGAAACAATTTTTTAATAAACATATACATTCATTGGTAATTAAATTATTTTTAAAGGAAATTATTTACTTATTTCACTTATTGCATTTTAACACGAAGCAATATCATACAGTGTATTATCCACAATGAATTTACCAATCTTTCTAAACCTAAAACAGAAAATTGACCAACTTCAGACCACAAAGGCTTTTTTTTATTAATAAAATTGAGATCTTTAAAACCTAAGCAACAATGAAATAAAGAGCCTTTTTCAATTTTATTAATTAAAAAAAAAAGCCTTTGTGGTTTGAAGTTGGTCAATTTTACTATAGTTGGCTTGGTCTAAAGACCTCCTAAATTTTAGGCAAATTTTAAAAGTATAGAAATCACTTTCTGTCCTAACTTTTAAAAAAATAGTTCTATTATTTGATAGAATATGTCTTTAGTTTTAATGTAATAGAGAGATTTTCTCAAAAAAATTATTTGTTGTAGAGTTCTATTCTTTTTTAAAACATGTACTTTACTATGCTCACGAGGAATTTGCCCACTATGATCATTTCTAAATTTAGGAAAAATATTACCAAATTTAGACTAGCTCTTAACTATCGTATCTAAATTTGGCAGTAAGAAAACTAAAATCACGTGAAGTCCTATTTTTTGAAAAAAATTTATTACAAATTACAAAATTGCTATTACTATTTTGAAATTTGGCCGCATGGCGCAGCAATAGGAGGTCTTTAGACCGAGCCAATGCAAACGTGATTTTTTTCTCCATTTTTCATATATATAAATTTCACGTCGATCGAATTAGTGTGTGACACTTGACCCCGGGATGTAACATTACACCAATCAAATTTTGGAAATAGTTTCTAAACTTGTACACGAAATTTCAACACTGAACTAAATGAAACAGGAGAGAACGTCCTATATAAGGAATGGATTTTCACAATTGATTTCAATTTTTTTTATACAGTATAAAATACTTTTACAAGGGTATCATGTAGCCCATTCTTACAATAAATCATGTGCAAATAATTACACAAACTTGAAGC